TAAAGTTTGACTACATTTATTTCAGAAGCATTTTGGCTGTAGAGCAGTGATATCAGCAACAGACATAAAAATGCTCTGTTAGATGCCCCCAAGTCCCACAACTCTACAATGATATAAGACGGCTTCTTTGGTTAAAAAATCATTCTGGTTCAGAGGGAAATTAAAACAGCAATTAAAATATAAATAAACAAAACTGAAAAATGAGGAAGCTGGTAGCAATGACTACTCATCAGCAGTTAGGAAATGCAAACTACTGATAAAGATATCAATGAAAAATCTATGGCCAGTAAGAAGCAATTCTTTAAATGTGTCAAAAACAAATGAAATCCAAACAATGGTATAGTGCAGGGGTCAGCAACCTTTCAGAAGTAGTGTGCCAAATCTTCGTTTATTCACTCTAATTTAAAGTTTCACGTGCCAGTAATACATTTTAACCTTTTTAGAAGGTCTCTTTATATAAGCCTATAATATATAACTAAACTATTGTTGTAGTAAAGTAAATAAGGTTTCAAAATATTTAAGAAGCTTCATTTAAAATTAAATTAAAATACAGAGCCCCCCGGAGCGGTGGGCATGACCTGTGAATGCCACTGAAAATCAGCTCGCATGCCACCTTCGGCACATGTGCCATAGGTTGCCTACCCCTGGTACAGTGCCATTATGATAGGATAAGGACATAAAATTATCAACCACGATGCACAAAAGGCAGAAGTATTCCACAACTTTTTTTTGTTCTGTATTTGGAGAGAAGCAAGATGATGTATTAGTATCTTGCAATTCTATTCCATCAGTATTTTATTATCATGATGATGAGAAGCGACACAGCTTATAACCTGTATAGACTTTTCAAATCATTGGCAGGAGCCTGGGTCGCTATTTGACTGTGCTTTGCTGCATCACGTATAATATGCCCTGTGTTGTTCAGCACGGTGCTCCATGCACCAGAATCAGCTGGACAAGAAAGATTCATCACCTAGCCCAGTGAACATATGTCCTGCTGTTAACAACTAAAGCCTATCACTGACAAGCACCTATTAACCCTATCGGGTAAAGTACCATCTAGGGCAGTGGTCTCCAACCTTTTCAGTGTGGCGGGTGCTGGACGACGAGCCATGAAGGACCGTGGCCAGCGGAAAAGTATCCGCCGAAATGCCGAGAAGCGGCAACATCAAGAGGCGTCGCCGCCAAAATGCCGCCGAGAAGCAGCGTCATCAAGAGGCGTCGCCGCCAAAAATCCGCCGAAAATCAGCTGCATTTTGGCGGCGACGCCTCTTGATGAGGCTGCTTCTTGGTGGCATTTCAGCGGATGCTTCTCCGCCGGCCAGTACGCGGGCGTACATAGATGCCCCGGCGGGCGCCATGGCACCCGCGGGCACCGTGTTGGGGACCACTGATCTAGGGAGACTGCTGCAAAATCTGGAAGAGACAAGAACTTGGTATCACAACACCCTTAGTGAATTACCTGAATGAATGAACTCTCTAGCTAACTCAAGGAACCAGTCGTTGCAACTGTGCAGATGTGCTGGAGAAGCCAGCTTCAGGCCAGTTCCAACTGATAAGTAGCAAAATGACCTATATACAGTCTTGGAAGGATTAGATTTGTATTAGTAAATGTCCATTTCACCGTACATATGAATAGGTTACCTAGAGAGGTGGTGGAATCTCCTTTCTTAGAGGTTTTTAAGGTCAGGTTTGGCAAAGCCCTGGCTGGGACGATTTAGTTGGGGATTAAGCAGGGGGTTGGACTAGATTACCTCCTGAGGTCCCTTCCAACCCTGATATTCTATGATTCTATGATCTGTCAAAAATATATAAAAAAAACAAAGTCTGCCAAGCCTAGTTATACATATATTGTTTCATCAACTGACAACATGGTTATGTTAAACTAAATGCTTCCCAGAAAGCACGTAACTGAGTTAAAACCCTCTGAATGACTAAAATGTATGACATCTACTTGTATTTCACTCATCGTTTGTCTTAGTTGTCTAGAAATCATGTCTAATCACTAACTCAGTTGAGAATGTGGAGGCTGGAGAAACTCATCATACTAAGAGTTGTACAATTTGTAAGATGAAACCCTGAGTGTTTCAAAGAGCTCAGCCTAAATCACACAGACTTTGTTGACAAGAGAATTGACAGTTCATAGACAACAAGAGGAAGAAGCCTTGAATTGGCTTGTAAACTAAAGATTTTAGCACTGTTTGTATCTTTGGTTAAAGTGGCATAAGAGCCCACAGTACTGCTTAAATACCAGAGAAATTTGAAGGGCTTCAAAATTATCACCTGTATATTATGGTATGGGTTTAATGACAAATTGAGACAGGAAATAAAGTGCAATTTGTTAACAGTAAGGGCTGTCGATCACCAAGATGGGCTGACTGGTGGGATACTTGCAGAGGACCAGGTGTAATTCACAGTAGAATGAACACACTGTGGGGGAATTTCCTGGTGTTTCACTGTTGTCCTAGGTGTGTTTTTACACCCTATCTGGTCCTATCCCTTCTGCCAACCCCACAGAGCGCTCGACTCCCAGTGTGGACAGTGGCTACCTCCTGGCCTCTCTATGCCACGTTCCCAGTTGGCAATGGGCATGCCCAGCAGCCCCAGGCAGATGAAGGTGAGGACTTTAGCAGTGGTGCAAGCAGGGGCCCGGGCATTTACCAGACCTTGGGAAGCACTGCGCAGGACAAAGAGGTTCCTTGCTCTGAAATGGCTTACAAGTGAGCTCCACACAGCATGCATGGCTGCTAGGTGACTGCTGGACAGAAAGGTGACCAGACTGGCCACTTTTTCAGTGACTGATGCACTCTGGGACAGCAGTGGGAGGACTGATGGAGGTGACTGGGCTACCACAGCAGAGGGATGCATCATATGGGCACTCAGACAACTGAATTAACTTCCATCGAGCCTCAGTGACTCACCAATGGCCACCAAAATGGCCTGTAACAAATCTGTACATGGGCACAAGAACACTCCTCATTGACGGAAGGGCAGCTCAATAGACTGTTCTCCCATTACTCCTAGTTACGCCCGTACAATGTATGACTTCAAATAATTCCTCTCCCTCCCTTGGGCTTTATACTCTTCCAATATTTGTAGGTTATGAGCATGCTCCCTCCCCTCTCCCTTAGTCAATGCTTAGCTCACTTGGTTCTTTTAATCTTTCCTCTTAAGTAAATCCCATCCAGCCCCAAGCAGTTGTGGTGTTGTTCTCTGAATTCCTTCCACTTTTAAATATCTTTCTGGCATTGAGGTGCCCAGAACTGAACACTAAAGCCCAGATATGGTCACAAAGTTTCATCTAGGGAGATTAATAACACCCTTTTCTGTAATGCAAAGTTGCAAACTATTCAATGTGGTTCAGTAATGAAGATGTTAATTAACACTGATCCTACTAGCA